ATGTCAAAGTCCTCCTTGCAGCCTTCTCCCTTGCAGCTCTTCCTCTCCCACTTGCGGGCTTCACAGCCAACTGAGTTTAGAGCCTTTCTCGACAGTTTAACAAGCCTGGTCACTAAGATTTCTTTCCTGTCTGGTCACCAGGGTTTCGTGTCCTCTGCCCTTCAGCCTCAGGTGGCTTCTCTCAGGACACCAGCCTGCAGAAGCTGACTCCTTCCTAGCAACATCAGCTGCACAGCCAGGCACTGGTCTGCAAGATGCTCCCAGATGGGCCTTTCCCCCTTAGCAGAAGGGCTGAGAAGAACACCACCAGAGCCCCCCCACTGCCCCAACACTTGCTCCCAGAGCCCTATAGCCACATTTTATCTGCTCGAGGTCTCCCTTGACTAGTGACCATATGAACAACTGAGCACCAAGGAACACAGTTGCTGGAAAGTTGGACAAGGCTCAGCAATCTTTCTGGAACATGACAGATTTGGGCAAGGCAGCAAATCTCCCCAGAACAGGTCTGGCTGGCAGACAGGTGCTGCAGTGCCCAATAGCAGGGGAGTTGCTAAGCACTAGCATCCATCACCGATTCTAATATTGTTGGTCCTGATCTGCAGGTCTGAAGCTCACAGATAGAGTCTTCCTCTGATGGTACTCACTCCTGCCGGCTCAACAAGGCCACAAATGTGTTCTCTAGATGAACCACTGCACCCTCACACTGCCAGAAGTCACAAGCTTCCCTGCCTCCAAGCAGGTTGGGTCTTCTTGCTGTTTCTGTATTGCCTTGATCATATCAAGACATTGAAAAGCTCTGTATTTTCAGTCCTGTGTCAGCTGAGACACAAAGTTCCAGGTTTCCAATGGCAGGTTAGAAGAAGAGATCCAAACACTACTTTTTCTCCAAATTAAAAGCTTCTTGGCTTCTCAGAGAGGCTCTGCACCAATAGCAGGCACTGAATCTTTGCAGCTCTCAGTGACTACTTGGTTTTGTGTTCAAACTTGGCAGACCATACATGCCTGAGAGTGGAGTGATTGAATAGCTTCAAGCAAAACAAAGCAAGTTGAATGTAACAATAAAAGCAAGTCCCGTGCTGAGTAAGAGAGCTTTCAGTAGAACAACAAAACCAGTATTTTAATCAGAGGACCACAAAAAGAAAGAAAGGGTAGGTAGAAAACACAGAAATCACTAACAACACTGCTTAACATGAGAAAGGAAGTTAGTGAAGGAGACAAGAACCAACCAAGCATAGTGACAGAACTGCACTGGCAACAGATATAATCTAAGATGTATCGTATTTCAACATATTGATATTAAATTTAAAATATTAAGTATTAAAATAATACTATTAAGGGATTTTTGAAGTATTTCGTTATTTTAAATCTGTTCAGTAGTGCAGATGAAATAATTTCAATTTACATCTTTTGCTTTTCAACCATTATACAAATTAATTGTAAAAAATGCCGCTTAACAAGTCATTACAATTACATATGTCTCTTATCTTAAAAACTGCACAGCAACATGATGTATTTTTAATGTTTGATGGGAATCCGTTTCCTACAGAGTAGACTGAGCAAGTTTTTAAAGCCCTATTTTTAGAAACAAAGTATAATTTTTTGGTATTCAAATTCACATCCTAATTAAGAATTACTCTAACACTTACATTGTTGTACTTACCTGACCTCTGATATCTATATCAGCATATTTATGGAGCAGGGCCCTCACAATTTCAACGTGACCTCCTCTAACAGCCCCAATCAGCACTGTATCTCCACTCTAGAAAAATTGTGAAAGAATATTGAAGGTGAATTAATACTACCTATCAGAAAGAAATGCAACACAATAAATGATAGCCTCAAAATATACATTATGCTTATTTACATTAAGAATTGTGCACTCATTTTAAAGAAAGATACAAAAAATAGTTCTCTGCAAAAAATGGGTATATATAAGAAAACATTCTGGACTCCATTTTTTATATTTTTTTGCAAAGAGATGAAATATTATGTATTTATGGCAAAACAAACACCCCAAAAATAGGTCCAGCTTAAACCACTATCCTAAAAAATAACAGCACAAATTAGTAATGAATATGAAAACATTCAGCCGTTCTCTATGTTCGTAGGAAGACCAACCACTCACAGTAATAACCTCTTTACGATCAGACAAGTAATTACTCACAGTAATAACCTCTTTACAATCAGACAAGAATGTTGGCTGTCTCCTTTAGATGTTTCACAGCTGACAAAAGATCTTCAAGAATTTTAAAGAATTTTATCCCTTTTTTGTGCAGATTTGACTGCTATCCTGTTTACATACACTACGCTGTTATAAAGAAAAGAAGTGAAAGGCTGATTTTATCTCAAATTGATCAAAGGAAAAAAAAAATTTGCTGTGGTAAATGGGAGTTGTATATACGTAAAACAAAGGTACAATTCTGCTTCAGACGTCTGATTTTAACACACTTAAGGGTCTGTCAGAAATTTCAGAAAATGAAATCCTGAAATTACCTAACACTTCTTTTATGATGAAACAGGAAGAATAAAGGAAAGTACAGCTAAATCACAGGTATGGAATTCAGTTAGAAAGCTCAGTAGTAGTAGATCCCCCAATCATAGTCATTACATACCTGGCTGCAAACCAAGAAATTTTCCTGATCAAAATCTACTCTAGTCTCTGAAACTAAGACTACTCATTGTTTGATATATTTTTGGAATAGTCAGCTGTACTGAAAACTGTAATTTATCCTTCCTAGAAGCACAGGAATGCAGACAGTTGTAGAATTTTTTTGTGAAAGAAGAGGTGGGAAGGGAAACTACAACGTAGTTTCTTAAATATTTGAAGTTTTGCTTTGATATGTGCCTGAAATCAAATTTGTTGTCACATGCAACACTGCAGCTCAGTACGTAACCATCTAAGAAATGCACTAAGCTGACACTTGAAACATAGGAAAACCCATCCAAAAATCCTTTTAAAATGATGAGGCAAATATTAGGAAATTTCCCCTCTCTTCTCTGTAACCCTAAACAATTTAATTTAGGGATTGGGAATTCAGCCTGAAGACCATATTACTGCTTTGAACTAAAACCCTGACCTTGACAGAGGCACCTAAGTTTAGGTATCTAACCAACCGAGGGCCCCAAGGGTGCAGTGCTTGGCCTGCCTCCAACACTTCAGAAAAACCTGACTATTAAGAGGGCACTGTAGACACTCCAAGGCACCTATATAAGCAACCAGATAAAAATCCCTGAGTGGCTAGCAAGCAGATTCACACTCTGGGCACTGCCCATACTGCATGCCTCTACTGAATGATGCAATTGCAGCTCAGGTACACAGCGCACCCTTCAACAGTTACTTTTACATGTCTTAACCAGAGCTCAAGCCTTCCTCCAATACACAGAACTTTCCTAGTAAAAAGTTTCATTGTAAAAGATAAAGGTAGATGCTGAATTAAATTATTATATTCTTTTTTATAATATCTATTGTTTTACAATTTTAACAGCCTACCAGATGTATTAGTATACAAAAACCTCACCCCTAACCTGCAAGTTAGTTCAGTATTAGTAATATTCCAGATATGACAAACATACAACCATAAATCATTTCCGTGCCCTATGGAAACTCACAATTCAAGAATCTCAAAGAAAAAGAGTAGTTTCTGTAGTTTAAACAGCAACATTTGCCATTTAACATACTTGTAAAATAGCAATACATAAAAATACCCCTAGGTGGCAGAAAAATTAGAAAGCCAGAAATTTGCGTACACTGGTATTTAAATATATTATTATTATTACACATATATAAAATCAGAATCATGATGAAAATGTACTCACTCTATCAGGAATGTTCACGTAAGTTCCAGCATCAAGAAGGTCCTGCACAATTTCAGTATGTCCTTCCTTTGATGCAATCATCAAAGCTGTATTTCCATCCTTATCTGTTAAGTTTACATTTGGGTTCCTTTTCAGTATTTCTTTTACTGAGTCAGTATAGCCACCCTTCACTGCTACAATAAGTGCAGTCATAGAATTCTGAACAAAACCAACAGATTTTATTATACAGTGGATATAAAAATAATCATTGTATCAGTTTAAATAACAAAAGATTACTTTCTGACATTACTTTCTCAACCATCCAAATGTTACTTCAGTTTTATGTTTTGAAGGGCACTTGCTATGCTTTTTTTAAAAAAGAAGTAACTTAAGTACTATAGTAGAGAACACTTCAAATGCAAACAGTAAAGCTCAGATCAATTTATTCTAACTCCCAAATGTGACATGCACAGTAAATTAATTTTCTTGTCATATGGGAACATAGTATTATCAGAGCACCCAGGTCTGCCAATACCACTCATAAAGAGGTTTTTTGAAGAACTTCAGAAATAATCATATGAATATCAAAAGTTGTCCTAATTTTCCACTGAACTTTAACTATTTTTTTTTATTTTGACAGGCACTTTATGTCTTAGATAACAGAAAATTAAAATATCTTATTTAAAAACAATATGCAGCTGAAAAAATTCTGAAAAGGCACAACAGCCATTGTTATTTTCTAAAGATGCTTTGTGTTTCATTTACTTCTCAAATAGCACTGAGTAACAAGTTGTTGGACAAATTAGGCTTGGGTACAGAATTAATTTTGATAGTGTTAACCTTCAGAGAACAACAAACTAAATCCATTTATGTTCATTAAGATGTACACTTTACATAACAGTGTGTCAACTGTCAATACAACTCACTAGTTAGGTAATATTAAAAGGCACAAAGAAGTTTAAATAATCCTCACACATCGTTTGCAAATAGCTGGAGAGTAATATACTCCAACATCAACACTTCACCTTGTTTCATGTATTTCCTGGTATTTGTATTATAAAATAAAACAGGACACATAGATGTATGTACCCACACCTTATCACCTGAAAGCAAACAGTTACTTACAGCTCCTTCTTGATCAACATCAGCTCCCATCTGCAGCAAGTATTTCACACACTCCAAATGACCTTTCCTCGCTGCCCAAACCAGGGGGGTGGTTCCATACTGCAAAAGCATTTATAACATTTTACCATATTGCTCTCTGTATTTAGTATCCCCTACAACCTAGTATTCATCCTATACTTTATTGCTTTAGTTTTTACCAAGATATAATTTGGTCTTACGAATTAAACACAAGCATTTGAAAAGCCATTTTAGCTTTTTCCTTGTAGATGATAGCTTTAAGAATTATTTTTCTATGCAGCCTAGGATAGCAAGGTTTCCAATCACTGAGAAAACAGAAATATGCTTCACGGAAATAAATGTTCACAACCATCTTCAGCATGCTATGGAAAAACTTCTTGCAAGTATAACAACTTACTCTAGCTCACTGATTCTAATTGCATGGGTAAAATATAACAGCAGGTGTTTTTCCAATCAAAAACTCACAGATTTTTATTTTTTAAATAAAACTTACTTTCACAAGGAATAGATGAAGCATTAAAGAAATTAAGTATTACATAAATATAACTTACTTTGTCAGAGCAGTTCACTTTAGCTCCATGTTGCAGTAAGAGATGCACTATATCTGAGTGGCCCCGTCCTGCTGCCCAGATAATGGGATACACACTGTATTGCTTAAAATTAAAAAAAAAGGGAAATAAAATCGTAGTCTTAATTATTTTTCATGAACAATATTGATCACAATGCTCCAAGAGATGATAGACCCATAAAAGAAGGAATACATAGAAATAAATCTAACTACAGATAAGTGACTGTTGCCTACTACATTGTCTAGATGGTATCTAGGAAGATGTCTGCTGTCTTGAATGAATTTTGTTTTAGAACTCCTTAAACAAGGTTTAAAAATTCACATCCATCTTTGTCTTAATATAAACATTTGTAACATAGGAGAGAAGCAACAGACAGCTATGTGATATCCCAAAGTAATCAGGACTGCAGATAGCCAGTCGCGTCATGCATGCAGAAGCTGCATATGCAAACCGGATGAAAGCGACAATCTGAAGGGTTGAGTCACTAGAGTTCTTCCTTGATGTTCCCTGTCGCCTCAAACACCAGAGAGCTGACAGTATTGTTAACTGAAGTTTCAACACGCCTATACTGTTACATAAAGTGCTTATAAAACGAAATAAATCTCAAAATCTTAGTTTTTTAATGCTCTCTTACATATATGCTACATATTTATATAATCTAGCCCATTTGGCAGCTATTACGAAACAATTAAAACAAATTACTGTTTCTAAATTGCACATATTAGTTAATCCATTAACTTCTACAGATGCAGAAAAATGACAACTGGTATACAAGTAGCATTAGATACACTACTTATCTTTTCTATTATTTCCTCTCCTGCAAATTTTAATCTTATTAAGACCTATACACTCATTTGCTTTAGTTAAAAAAAAATTTAAAATTAATCAAAAAACCAGTGGCTGTCATACAGATTATTAAAGCAATCCCTTAATAAATACAGTGATTAATGTTACACTGCAGAAAATGCAAAATATTTAATCAAGATAATAAGATGAGTGTACAATTCTGGACTTTGAACATTTGGGAGGAGGTGGCATTTAATATTAAAACTTACCATTCCTGTGATGTTTGGATTGGCTCCTTTCTCAAGCAACAGTTTAGCTACTTCAGTACGGCCTTTATATGATGCCCACATCAGGGCAGTCCATCCTCCCTGGCAAGCACAATTCAGAGAGATGTAAAAACTGAAAAATACTCTTTAGAAACGTCACTAATGACTCGTATTTCATTTTATATTTGTCCTACGATTGTTTTGCAAGTCCAAAACATAGTAAGGATTGACTACCCAACCTTGTAATCCTACTTATGTAGCATAAAATAATTAGCACGTGCATGAAAGTACTAACTTCCCGTTGTATGCAAAACTTGGGAGAATATCGTGTCCCTGCATTTGCTGTAAACACTCAATTCAGACTTCAAGCATATACAAATCCAGTCAGTGGATAAACAACCCAAAAAGCAAGCACTGTCTTAAAACAAAAGTCTAGAATCCAAATCAATTCACAAGGAGGGTTTACTTTCCATTTTTGTACAGACAGCTGGCCTTCATAAAGTAACGATGTAATGATGTGCTTCTTCAAGAAAAAGAAACAAATCACATGTCCTCTTAAGGGAGTAATAAGAGCAATTAATTTCAAACTGCATTGATGTGTTCGTTTCAATTTGTGCTTCTTAAGGCACTTGACAGGTCAGGTAACCAAAATTAGTTTTAAAATAACAGTATGCCTCTGATAACTGTAACCACATTTTTTATTTATTTCTTTATAATACATTTTTGGGGAGGTAAAAGATCCCTCAGACTGACCCAAGCCTAGAAATCAACTGCTGGCCATGCGGATGTGCTTAACATTACACTTAGAAAAAGCTAGGTTAGCAGGACATGGCAAAACACCTCAGCCTTCAGACAGAGTGGAACTTCAATTGAAGGAAGCACTTGAACTCTCTCCTAGTGGTTTTTCATACTCTTAACTTAAGCAGAACAAAATTAGTCCTTGCAGATACCTAATTCCCTCTTCAGTCAATAGAGACAAGCCTACAGGTCTTCAGAGGCATCTAACCTCCTAATCGTGTAAGCAACTTCTGTAATTCTTTAGGTGGACTGCAGTGTAGCACACACTTTCACATAGAAAAAAATTGGAAAGACAAATGAAAACAAATTCCAGGACTGGTATATGAATAATCATGGTTGTCCAGAGAAAAAGTAAACATGGACAGGTATCTTCTGGGAAAAAAACATTTATTTTACCAGAATACTTTTAAAAAAGCCACCACCACCACCACCAAAAAAAAAAAATAATCCCAACATAACAAACCAACACCTCTCACAGAAAACACACCCAAAAATCAAAGCATTCTTCAGTTTAGCTTTTTTCAAAACAAATGAAGAGGAAAAAAGCATCCCCAGAAAACAAGTTGCCTTTGTTAACATTAAAACAACTATTTTACAGCTGTAAAAACAATATTTAAATATATATTCTTTTCCATTTTAACAGCACTGAGTACATAATTTAAGAATAAAAGATCTTTGATTTCTTTTACAGAACTGAAAATCTCCAACTCTCAAAATTGTTGTTCTTATTAAAAACTATTTTGTTTTTACCGTAGATAACACATACCAAATCCCGATGCTCCAAACTGACATTATAATTGAGTAGTTCTGCTACAACAGCTGCATGTCCTTCTTTAGCTGCTGAAATAAGAGCCGTCCAGTTATCCTAGAAAAGGAAAAAATATTTTTCATAATCAATATTTCAATACAATTACCTTGTTTTTCAAGCGTTTAACCCGCAACAGGAAATCCACAACCCCTTAATAAAGCTGTCCTTTAAAAAAAAAAAAAAGTAATAAACTTGTAGACTACCTGCCAGTTATATACATGAAAATACAGACCAACGACTACTCCAGATCTCCCCTCCATTATGTCCTCTCCCACCCAATGTCTGTCACTTTCCACTCCTCAGCTCACTGCAGATTAACAACTTAAAAATTTTATGGAGGAAGCAACACCTACAAAGGATTAGAGAATGAGGTCAAGACATTGAGAACTGCTGGGTGGGGATGAGATGGCAACCAAGACCACAGAATGGCAGTGGTCTGTCTCCACATACAGTGAGTGACAGCACCCAAGAGGCCAATATGCAGGGGAATTTGGACCACAGCTTCTTATATTTATGATCACTTCAGGAGATACATTTCCGCTTGCATTACACTTATCTTCCATCCACTACTCAAACCATGTCTTGGTGTGGACCACTGTTTTATACGCTATACACACATAAACATAGCAACAGTTTATAAGGTAACTGTTTTTCCTGTAAGTAAGGAAATCCCAACCCATGCCACTTCATCACTGAGATGAGCAAAATCACTTGGACCTCATCTTTGATGCTGTATTTCTCTGTTCCATCCATCTTTTTATGTCAACTACTGCTACTATTATAGCTTCCTAGTAACTGTATTTCTCTGTTCCGTCCATCTTTTTATGTCAACTACTGTCAACTACTGCTACTATTATAGCTTCCTAGTACTAATTTCCCAGAAGAAACAGCAGCAGCATTCAGCAGAGACCCTCAGACATGTGAAACAACTTAAATATCCCTATTCTTCATGAGGAATAGAATCAGAGGAATACAGAGCCAAGAAATTTTATCCAAAATTTTTCTTATATATCATAATTTTCCACTTTCTTTTTTTTCCCCCTCCCCTCAATTCCTTTTCTTTTCCTGACTCTTGAAATTTCTTCTTCCTCTACTGTTAGGTACCATCACATAATGCAGTAATACTTACTGCATCTTCCAAGTTGCAATTAGCTCCCTTCTTAAGAAGCTCCTGGACAATTTCTAAATTGCCTTGCTCAGCAGCCAACATAAGTGGAGTCTGGCCATTCTGAAATCAAAATGATAGGAAAAGTGATGCATCAGGAAGTGAAGCAAACGACACACATACACCAACAATAAAAGGCCAAAAACTACAGAGGAACGTTAAGTTGATCCAGATTTTAATTGCCAGTGAGAAGGTCAGGTTTTCAAACCATGCAGTAAACTTGCAATAAAAACAGAGAATGTGATATTAAACACTGTCCCATAAGAGATTTAAAAAAAAAAACCAAACCCCAAACATTTCAGACATTAAAAATAGCTTCCAAAAAAAAAGTTACATTGTTAAATATTTTTCTTTCTGAATTATTTGCCCACTGAAGACATCTCTAATACAGCCTGTTACATCTTTACATCTTGAAGTAACTCAGTCACATTGTCCAGAAATTAATAAATGAAAAAAAAAATCTAGGAACCACAATGGCCATTAAAATATGCACACCGATTCAAAGTAACAGTAAGATTTCTGCTGAAGTCTTGGAAAAAAATAGCCAAGTTATATGCCACACTTTCATCTGACAGTATACCAAATCCAGACATCATTCCTGTCCAGTGCAACACGGGTTCTTAACAGACAGCCTCATCTCAGGGAAGATGCAAGATAGAAAAGCTGGTTTATTTGCCTTCAAGGATGTCTTAAAAGTCAGTTACAACTTTCAACCTTCCATCAGCCTTTTTCTGTGTCAGCAAACTTCTGAGATACAAATGCTCTGTATGATGGAAAGTAAAACTTACTAAATTTGACAGTAAATTTGTTCATTTCAACAACCTTAATAAATGAAGATAATTTTTCCTGACCTCTATTCTGTCTTTTCTCTGTACCATATAGAAAAATTATATAGTCTCTAAACAATGGAAAAGCTACAGGTTAGGGGTTATATACCAGCAATTTCCCTGAAAAGAATAAAAAAGCAGAATCAGAATACAGTAAAATCACTAATCTTCATTAGTAAAACAGTTAACAGTAAGATTAATAAATATATTTGATGAGTTTTTTCTACTCTTTATGTACAAAAAAAATGCATAGAAATACACTGATTCTTTCAAAAAAGCTTTCTGGTCCATCTGCTATTCCCTAACTAGTCTTCACAGAATCTTCCCCATGACATAGATAACCAACAGTATCACTCTGACAGGATATAACATAATATCTAACAGAGCAATTCTTTACAGGGAGAAATTACACTCTCTTGTAAGTTTGTGTTGTTATAACTATACATTGTATACATTCAAAATTATACTTTTGCTTTTAAACTATTCTTTAGGATCTATCAACAAGCAGTAGTATTCAGGTTTGATAATTAAAAAAAATTAAAATGCTCAAAAAATCAAGAGGAAGGAAAATACTACTTTTTAAAAGAAAAGAGCTTTCTTTGGAGGAGAGAACAGTCATAACTTTTGCTCTTTAAGATGAGTTCTTTATATGCACATTAATATTTTGGGAATACACATGCCAAGTGATTTGGGAAATCACGCGTGACAGATCTGACCACCTTCTGTAATGACAGCATTGGCTCAGTGGATGAAGAGCTGAGTGAGGCAGAGTGTTTACCCCACCTCTAGCAAGGATTTAGACACCGTCTCCCACAGCATTCACAGGCAAACAGATAAATTTATTAAGTAAATGGACAGTGAGGTGGACTGTAACTGGCTGAACTGCTGGGCTCAGAGGGTGATGTCCAGCTGGAGGCCAGTCACTAGTGCAGTACCACAGGGGTCATTACAGGGCTCCTGCTTAACCCCTTCATTAAGGGCCTGGGCAATGGGACATGTGTCCCAAGGTGCACCCTCAGCACCTTTGCAGCCAATACAAAGCTGGGAGGAGTGGCTGGGGCACCAGATGCTGGTGCTTCCATCCAGAGGGACCTTGACAGGCTGTAGAAATGGGCAGACATGAACCTTATTGTACTGAGTACCCAGGTCTTGATATTGGGGAAGCCACACAGGGTCTCTGTGTGGGACTGCTGGGACTGCCCTGTGCTGGACACAGCCAATTCCAGCTGGCTTCTACCAACCCACCTCAGGACGCAGGACTAGATAACCTCCAGGGGTCCCTTCCAAGCAGTGCCTTAGCCACACATACAAAAATCCCTGTTTTAGCATGAGCATTCTTCTTACCTCTTTCTGAACAGTTAATATTGTTACTGTTGTGACTGTCTTCCACAGGCAGGTAGCACAAGAGGATAGCACAAACCAAACCAGAGTATCTCTGCGCAAGAAGAGGTTGCAGATGGGAAAATGATCCCCTGCTCTAAAAGGTGTCATACAGTTGTAGACTGGCTCTGGTATTCTTAGGCAGATGTAAAACTTTTCTATAGGGGTACTGAAAACATCCTTCCCTTTTTGCTAAGAGATTCTCATATATAAGTTCAATTTTTTAGCAAATTGCAGAGTTTTCACCAACACAGAAACCAGAGATAATTACTATGCCTGCCTGTGAAATCCGGATCAATTCTCAAAAGTTGCCCAAGAGTCTAGACACTCCACAACAACTAAATGCTTGTATTTCTCACAAGCACATCCAAGTACTGTATATCTGTACAGCACAGCTAAGTCTAAGTATTGGAATATCCAAATTATAAAGGGGCACACCTGTGTCTTTTTAGGGAAATCCTTCAGTGGTGTGACCTTACAGATTAACACTCTCTCGCAGTCTGTGAGAGAACGGAAGACTCAGAATTGAAGATGCAGAAGGTACCTCAGTACCATGAGCAGAAGAGAAGAAAGAAAGGCACAAAGGAAAGTGGAGGCTGCTAGGATGAAAGCATATCACATAAGACAAGCATCTACCATTAGCTGCTAAGTAATCAACGTATCTGATATGAGAGAGACGAACATGCACAGGGTAAGGACGAGGAGGGAAAAACAGAGAGACTGAGACGTGCTCCACTTAACTGAAACTGCTGGTGTTAATCCAACAAAACTATCCATACACAAACTGGCTGGAACACACCAGTTTTTCTGGCAACTGACCACAGTTAAGATATAAAGGGCTGGTAACAGTGTGGGTGATCCTACCATTGGACAAGTCACTGCAGCCTGGGAGGTCCTGGCACGAGCAAACCTTGGCTTGCCAGCAGTATTTTTAGACCTACTCCACTGGCACTCCTGTTTTTGGTATTTTGTTTTTACCCAGAAAGAAAAGACATCTTGGCAGGTCCAAAACTGGAAACAGAATTGCACTCAATAACATTGAATTCCAACAAAGAGCTAGCACTTAAACAAAATTCCTATCACTGATATGTATAAGCAGCTCCCCCACTGGGTTTAAAACTGATGCAAACCATACATGTCTTCAGAAATTACCTTCTCCAATACAGTACGTCAGAAGACTGAAAAAAAATAGGTATCAGGGAAATTATCTCTGCAAAAAAGGCAGTTACTGAAACCCAGGAGTGCATTTAGTCCCATTAAGAAAAAAAATTTAGAAAAGAAGGCGAAGGCAGTGACACTGTTGATAAAGTCAACACAGACTATCTGTCTGATTCCAGCCATGTTGTTGAGAGGAATTACCAGCAGGGGGAACAGACGACTCCTCAGATACACAGCATGCCAGGTGGTGAGGTTCACCTGTGTGCTCCGAGACTTAAAAACTCTCCCTTCTCAAATACCTCAGCATATGTGCATACACAGCATGAAATGAATGTGCTGACAATGCAAGAAAACTGTCTTAATTGAAACCAGATCTAATAACTACAGTAAGGCTAAATTCTGTACGTTTTCACATTTGCACGATTCTTTTTGGTTTTGAGTAATATACACTATTCAACTTCTTTCCAAAAATATTCTTTCCATCTTACGCAGGTTCAAAAAAATAATGCAACAGAACATGCGTTTTCCAAGACTGACTTAAAGAAAAAAAAAAACATTGGAAAGCCAGTCTTGCATACACAACAAGGTGAGTAAAAAAACTGTCTGGACTGTCAGATTCAATGGGTAATGGTCAACTGTTCACAGTAACTGGTGCCCAGTCAGGAGGGTTTGGAGCTAACATTGTACCATCTTCATCAACACTCAGAACCATGAAACAGAAAGCGCTCTCTGCAAGTTTACGGGCTGCCCCAAGCTATGGAGAGCAGCTGATACACCAAAGGGCAGGGATGCCATTCAGAGGAAATTCAACAGGCTGGGGAAATGGGCTGACAACCTCCCTGCAGTTCAACAAAGGCAAACACAGAGATGGGAAGAAAGCAAACCCATGCAGCAGTACTGGCCAGGAACTGCCTGCCTGGGGAGCCACAATGCAGAAATGGGCATGGGGTCCTGGTGGCAAGAGGCCCATAAGTCAGCAGCACACCCCTGCAGCAACAAAGGCAAACCAAGTACAGGGCTGCATGAACAAGAGCACAGCTAGCCCTCTACTCAACACTGGTGAGGCTGAATCCAGAACACCATGCCCCACTTCGGGCTCCCAATCACAGAGAGACTGACAAACTGCAGAGTCCAGCAATGGGATCACTCAGATGGTTATGAAACTGGAGCATAAGACATGCAAGCAGAAACTGAGAGCTGGATTTGTTCAGTCTGGAAAACAGAAGAGTAAGGGGGCATCAGCATTGGTCTTACACTACCTAGACGGAAAGGGAATCTTAGAAGACAAAGGCAGATTCTTCTCAGAGACACACAAGAAGATCAGAAGCAACAGTCACAAGATGCAGCAAAGGATATTCCAATAAAATATAAGGAAAATGTGTTTAACCAAAGAGTGGTTAAGCACTGGAGCATTGTCCAGAAAGGCTGCAGGTTCTCCATCTTTTTGAGTACTTTCAAATCTTGCTTGTTAAGTCCCTGAGCGACCTGATGTAGCAATGAAGTCAGTCCTGCAGTTAGGAGCACGCTGAATCCAATGACCTCCAGAGGTCACTTCTACCATGAATTTTTCTGTAAATCCAAATATCTGAATATGCTACGTAAGTCAGCAAGGTTCCAGCTCTACAACACCGTTTAAGAAACCAGAACTAAAATAAAAATTGATTATATAAGCTGTACATCCAGATGAATGAAAAGTCCAGATGCTTACCAACCAGACAATCTACTACAGAGAATGAAATAAATTAGTCAAATCATCTCAACTTTTTTGTAAAATACACAGAAGAATTAGTAGTGCATCAAGATAATCTGAATTCTAAACATTGTGCAAAACAACGTAAACAGTCACTAGCAACAGACATTTGCGTGAATGAAACCTCCCAAGAAACTCTCAGGAATCTTTAATGCAGTGTAATGAAACCGCAGCACATTTGTTTAAATTGCTGGTGGTGATCTGCTCAAATCAGACTAAATCAGATGACAAAGCAGAAGCTAACAATTACCGCACTATGCCAGGATTCGAATAATCCACATTTAAACTCCCTATTTTGTATCAACACTTCCTGTGTAATGCTCGTAAAGTCACTTAATCCTCCTGGTTACATCTAGACTTACTTTTTGGATACATATCTTTTCAACCAGATGAGCATGTGCTCAGAGTAAATTGCAATATATGACCCTATTTGGATTGCGTAACAAAGTTTCTCCTGCCTGGGAACCAGAGTTGTTACCATCCCAGGTTTCACCCCAAAATGGACAGGCTGCAGAAATACAGGTATAATCTCCAGACACAAAGTAAGGATGGAGCTGCACTTTCCCACTCAGAAGAACACTCAAAAAACAAATACAATGAAGACGCCAAGGTGCTGACAGAGACTGAATACCATGTGTTCAGTCTGTACAATGGTAAGCAATCACTTGAAAATAAAAGTGAAATTTGTATATTAAATAAGGAGTATGATCTCACTAATTATTCATTCTGTAACTAACAAGCTGCAATATGAAACCGACCTTTCAAAAAGTCATCTTACCTCATTTCTCTCATCTACATCCCTGCATTTCTCGAGAAGCGCTTTCAGAGCAGGAACATTTCCTTCTTCTACATAGGTCAACAGACTCTGACTCATCAGACTTGCCATCTTCGCACAGTATTTAAAATGCTTCTATAACAAAGCTTATCTGTATTTCAGGAAAGGAAAAAAAAAGCAAAGTGTAAGTAAAGGCTATGAGAGTTAGCTTTGACATTAGAAAGTACGAATTGTACATGCCAACAAGTTACTGGCTGGATATGAATACCTGCCATTCTCCTCAACAAAATGCTGTGGAAACGCGCATTGAAACGCACTACATTTCAATGAAGAGTCAAGTGCTTAATATTTCTAGTTGTTAGAAAATTACACAACTTATTCCAATTTTTAGGTGTTGTCTACATACGTATTTTGAATTGAATGCATGGTAGTCATTCATTTGCACATTTTTTTTCTGCATATATAACATCATAGGAATACCTGTATATGTTACACACTTTACAGATGCAGGTTATTTACAATAACCCCCTTATCCTTTATGTACATAAGCAGAACACTGAGACTATTCAGCATTATGAAATACAGTGAGAATATCTAAATTGCAGCCATACGGAACTCTGAGAGACACCATTTATTAAATCAGTTATCATCAACTTTACACAGAAATGCCTGAATGTGATGGCACGTTGTTAACTTGCTAGTCAAACTTAACATAGCTTCTGTTGACTGATTTTATGTTTTTAACCTCTAATATGCAAGGCAGTTTTTCTTGGTTAAGGCAGACCATTAAGAACCATTCAAGACTTCCTAAAAAGCTGTGGGCTGGTAAGTTTAGAGAACCAGTAGTATTACTGTGCCAAATTCATACACATACGACTCCAGAAGCTGAATTATCCATTGCACCTAAATTATGTTTCCCTGGATGCAGAACAAGTTGTGGGGCTAAAAGCAAGGCTCCACCCCCCCACACCCCCTCTCCTCACCAGCGGATGACATGATTGCTCTCTGGCTTTTTCTTGAGCAATAGCAGAGGAAAAACTCCCATTTAGCGTTAACTAAAGCCTACTGGTTAGGCTATTCTCTATCAGGCAGAAGCCAAAGACCAGTGGCTTTCCCAGGCAAATGTTCTAACTTTTATTCTCACATAAAAGCAGCCAGTGAATTTTTTTGCGCTCCCAACTGAAGTGGAACATTAGCCAAAAAGAGACAAGAGGAAGCCAGCAGGAACTTCACTACACTTAGCAGGGAGAAGCCTAGTTTAGATTTAGAGATTTAAATCTCTAAATGTATCACATCTTTTTTCCTTTAGCAAGGAAGTAAATACCCTGACAACAGTGTGTTTGTCTATATGTTAGACACAACCTGAGCTCACCTATAGCACCACAGACCATCAGATGACCCACATAGAGAAATGCCTTGTTCATAAAAAAGCCAGCAAAGAAGCCAACACAACCAGTTCAGTTAGGATGACAGCAGCTGTGGCTACATGTAAAGAACTGTAGGCACACATCACTGTCTAGTGACAAGAGATTCTATAAACTGTGTACGTTTTCGGTATGCAAGCAGAAGAACACGAGAGGATGAAAAGGAGGGACTGTGACTCCTACTGTTACATTAGGGCTTAAAATCCAGGTTGCAGTTTAAGGGACAAATACCAAAGAGAATTTAGGCATCTGAACTCTCCACATGCCATGTAAAAATACACAAATCAAATCATATAATTTAGACATTATTTAAAACCCAAACCTAAAATCAGTTCCAAAAAAAAAATCTAGATTTGGCATGCAAAGCCCAGCAACAGTTTTACTAGGCACTGCACAAATAGCCAGTCTCTCCCACAAGAAAGTTATAAATAAACTAAGAACACAAGAGGTCTGTCGTGTTTACTGTACAGCTGAAGTTACCATCATGCAAAGGAGGGTGAGGAGTACAACAGTGGTGTCATATGATTGTCTTTATTCTTTTCAGTAGGAGGAAGAGCTGATTGAGAGGTTGCAAACTTAAAACCTAAGCCACACCAAAAATGAAATGTTGAAAAGAAACAATGATTGTAGTGATTCAGTACCCACACAGAGGCCATTTCAGATACATAAATACCAGAAAAGTCAGCATCTTGTCTGGCATCCAGCTGCCAGTCCAGAACAGTCCACCTCCCTTATGGCTTGCTCCAGTATCACACAGCCCTACGCAGATGTCTCAGATATTCTCAGGCACCTAAAACGATGTTAGATACTCACATGCAGGCATCTGAATTCTTCCCATCATTTTTTAGGTATTTCAACAGAAGTTAATGAAACGTGACTTGCCACTAGCTCCATTGCCACCACAGATGTTTTCTGATTTCCCTGTGCAGTGTCCCAGCTTCTCTCTAGCTGTACCTTAAATCCCCACACTATTTCCCTACCAAATACTAAATTGAAAACTGTATTAAAAATCGTCAGCAAAACATGACTACAATGTCTCACCAAGTGAATTATACTCTGCAGTTGCTATCAAAATTTCACCAATTAATTCTTAGCTAGCGTGAAAAAGAAAAAAGTATTCAGCATTGCTTCCTCCTCAAAGTAAGATTCTTCCCTTGATGTTCCCTACTGTCATATTTCAAGGCAGCAAAGGCAGCCCTGCTGCATGGTAGATAAGTATCCTGCTTCAGAAATCATTACTTGAACTCCCAGTTACCAAGACAGCGCAGCTTCTGCCTTAATGCAGATCTGAATCCTTAGAGGCAACTTAAACCTTTGACTAAAAGCAAAATACGTGATGCTAAAGAACACATCTAGAGCTACATTTACAAACTCCACATTAACTTTTTTCAGATGATAAAAGCTTTGTAGGGGTGAACCACCTCCAAGTATATTAACAGTCTTTGTCACCCACGCTTCACTGTCACACAATATCCCCTTTTTAAAATTAGTAACGGTCTATTTAATAAAAACAAGAACAACAAAATCAAATATTATAATTATGAATTTTATATCCTCATGCTTTCATTTGCCAGTTTTCAGGCAAGCTTCTTAGAGCACCCAGAAGATTAACATCACTGGAGTGCTTTAGGAAAGCACTGTTTAGGGAGTCAGTAACAGAAATTCCCATTTAAAGTGCAACCCAAATTCACCAGGCTAATCTATGCATTAGTATTCTTCTCATCCTTAAACACAGCAAAATAAAGAAAAAAAAGGCAAAAAAAACCCAAACAAGCAAACAAGAAATCAAACCAAAATAAAAGCACCACCCCGCTAACAAATATACATTAAAAAGGTTGGTGTTAAGTTTTTTGGAAGCTTTACTTTTTTTCTCCCCGGGAACAATAAACATGCCTGAAATTAGGCTGAACCTCATTCACGATATTTTCACTCAGGAAAGCAAGTTGATATAAACTGAGAGCAGCCACAGTCCATCTTTTTATTAAATAAGATTTATGTTATTACATTATGAAAATTAATCACTGTACTCAAAGTCCGCATGGGTGCTGGACACTAAGGTGTGATTTCTTCCAATACTTAAGATTTCTTTTACATTATGATAAATGCTTCGAACCAAGACTCTGAGGTACAGTCTCTAGCTAGACAAGGAACTCTATTCTGGCTCCTCTAATGGAAAAACTTCCTGAAATCTTTATTCATACACTTTTCAAAACAAATAACCCTTGAACAAAAAAACCTCAATAGCTTATCCTTTACCAAAATAAAGGATGAGAAATTAATCCCTGCAAATTTCATACATTTATTGCAAACCCAGTATCATTCAAGAGTATGGTCCTTAATTGCTCAATTAACAGCATTTACTTTGTTCTTTGACACAGCAGAAGTATTTTCACAATCTATAACAAAACTTTCAGTTAAAACCAGGAGCCCATTTGGAAACTGATCCCCTTTCCAGTAAGGACTAATGCTGTTACTTTTTTCTCTCATCAAAGTAAGCCCATTCCCAGACCCCAAACCAGCTCTTCACTCACAATCCAAACTTCCAAGCTTGGAAATCTCACAATGCCCTCAGGCAGCAAATCCTGGTATCTTACAAGACCAACCACACACCGAGAACTATGAAAAGGTATATTAAGAGCACAAATGCTCAGGTGAAGGTAATGTTTGCACAAGGATTGACCTGGTTTTGTAAGGCACTCACATCCTGAGCTGAAGCAGACGTTATCACTGTTTTGGAAAGACTGCAAAAATTTGCTGATTTACAAAAATTTAGTATCTCTCAACTGCACCAATACTGACTGCAGAGGTTCTGGTAACTCAAATCTGCAGATATTTAATGTACTCTCAGAATCCTGTATCAGTTTCTAACTACATAAAAAAATATTATTACACAATAAGTTTTCCAAATACCACCATCTTTTTCATAGCTCTCACCCATATTTTTTTATTGTGTGAGCTGTGATCGTTTATGAATAAATATAAAAATTGGTCAACAAACACTAGAATTAGTGGGAAGACTTTCTTGTTTTCAATAGGTAAAGATCGTAGTGACTAACGTAAAATTCATACTCTTCATCATACAACAAAAAAACCTGTCACCTTTTTAACACGTTTCCTTCTATTTCCAGATACAAAAGCTACCTTCCCAACATGCAAGACTGCGGCAGATCTTTCAGTTAACTGTAAAAGGAAATAATTACAGTGCTGCTGAAACCTGGGCATGCACAAATCAGATATGGAAACATGCAGTATTCCTCCCATAAGTACTGGAAATGCCATCATTCCAAATTAGAATTTAAAGAAACGTGGACTACAGAAGAATTGTATATATAAAATTTACTATAGTAAGACTAACGTTAAGTCAGTTTCATATTCTCACACGTTTTTATACTTTATGATGGCATAAAAAAAAATTAAAAACATGCTGGAACATCACCTTTACTCATGCTGCAGAGAATCTTGCTAATACAAGCACTACCCATCCTTTATGACACCTTATTGTAATCACTTGCTAAATGGACATATTTCATAAACATTAAGAGATTACAAGCCAGGCATTACATGAAGCAGTAAGTATTTTTAACTATTCTTTCTACAGGGATTGAGTCAGTCAGGATTCTGTTTAAAGAACAAACTTTTGAAACAGTTAAAATGAGTCTCTAAAATATTAATTTCTGGTAGTCAGCGGCAGAAAGAAATAACAAATCTAAGTTTCCATAAGCAGTCT